TTTGCTTTTTAACACTTTAAAGAGATCTTTTGCTCCAGATTTGCCCAATGCAATGCATCTTTTGATTTCTTGACTGCTGCTTCCAAGGATTGTGGATCCAAGTAAAATGAAATCCTTGACAACCTCAGTCTTTTCTCCGTTTAGCATCTTCCGGCACTGTATCAGACAATGTTCTGCTGCTGTTCATAGGGTTTTCACTGGCCAATTTTTTCAGAAGTAGACCACCACGTCCTTCTCCTTGGTCTGTCTCATTCTGGAAGCTCCGCTGAAACCTGTCCACCATGGGTGACCCTGCTGGTATTTGAGATCCCTGTGGCGTAGCTTCCAGCGTCACAGCAACACGCAGGCCACCACAGTAGAACAAACTGACAGACGCTTGGTGGTATATATGTATAGTATGTGTGTATGTGCATATGTATGTAACTTATGTGTATATGTAGACGTGTGTATGTGATTATATGTATAGTGTATGTGCATGTTTGTGTATATATGTACAGTATGTGTGCATGCATATGTATATATGTATAGTATATGTGTATGAGCCCTGGTGGCACAGTGGTTAAGAGCTCGGCTGCTAACCAAAAGGTTGACAGTTTGAATCCACCAGCTCCTCCTTGGAAACCCCATGGGGCAGTTCTACTCTGTCCTATGGGGTCACTATGAGTTGGAATCGACTCGGTGGCAATGGGTTTATATGTATGTGTGCATGCATATGTAAATTATATGTACGGATATGTATATGTGCACGTGTATATGTGTATGTACCTGACTGCAGTCATGGGGACACTCACCCCACCTCCCTCCATAGCTCCTCCCTCCTAAAATCACAGATAGGTTCCCCCAGCCTCTCGCCTCTTCTTTCCTCCACGGCCCCAGCGCCCTGGGCACTGGTGAGCAGTGATCACCTCTCGGCCCCTAAGGTGGCTGAAGTCCAGGTAGCCCAGGCCACCGTGGCTGGTGGACGCCATGGCTGGCCTCAGGCCTGCGGGGGGCACGGGGGAGCGCGTCTGGATTCAGCACCCGTGAGCCCACACTGCCCCTGGCGCACACTGTGTCCACGGAGGGCAGCGGGGATGGCCCGGTCAGGGGGCACCGCTGGCACACCAAGGGTGGTGACAAGCCCACGACTTTGCCGGGAGCTGAAGACAGGATGGGCGCTCACACAGGACAAAGCCACGGTGTTGTTGCCGCGTGGCGGGCAGAGAAAGGGTGCTGACAGCCTACAGGATCAGTGCTTATCTCCCCAGCAGTGCTGACGCCCTGTTTGCTTAGAGCAGCCCTGAGACCTGCCTGGAATTCCAGCGGCTGCTGCCCGCATCTCACTGCTGACACAGAGCTCAGAGAGCCAAAGGCGGAGGGGGCGTCACACCACACGCTGCTTCCTGAGCGTGAACTTGGTATTCCTGACCGGGAGCTAGCTGTGCGTGCTGGGAAGGCCTCGGAGACTCCACCCGTCCCCCACATTTGCTGGGGAGATGCGCTGCCCTGCGCCGGGCTGCCTGTAGAAACTAGTCTGGAATCAGCTGTCTGACAGCACCCACTCGGTGGCTGTTTCGCAAACTGGGCTGTGAACTGCGGGCTCCATGCTGCTTTTTAAGGCGCACCCGTGCCCCCGCCTCAGAGGTGAATGTGCATCTCTTCCCAACTCCACCTTCATGGCGTCACGTTGGTAGCTTGAAATCCGCCACCGAAATAGGCACCTGGTACACTCAGAGAGCCAGTTGTTGAGAGTTACCAGCACACCACTGCATCCATGTGACTTGGGGCAAGTGCTGATATCGGGGTGGAAGAGGACCTGAGAGGTCTTTCAGTCATAAATTCCAACAGCCCTGGGCCAGCACCTGCTTTGCCCCAGGCACTGGAGACAAACCTCCAGGCTTTAATCCTGCTGCTTCCTCTGCTGCGAGTGAGCGGCACCTCCTCCAAGAAGCCCGCCCTGACTGCCCCCCTGCTGGACAAGACTCCCATCAGAGCACAGCACTTATCTCTTTTTAACTCTAGACCCTCCACTGGCGTTGACACCAGGATGCTGTTAGTTATCTCTGCGTGGCAGAGAACAGTCCCAGGTGCCTGCTGAGGAATGCGTGAACACATGAATGCATGTGGAGGTGAAGAGGTGGCACCCTCCCGGCTGGTGGGGAGCTCGGCCCTGCACACCCCAAGCTCACCGGGGCTGGACGTCACAGCATGTGCTTGCTGGGGAAGCTGAGGCCCAGGAAGATGATGCTAGGTCTCTCCTCTGTCCCTTGGGGATGGTGATGCTCACCCTAGCTCCATCCTGACTCCTCCCAGGGTGCAGGAGGGTTCCCTGGGAGGCTTTGGGTGCCCTGTAAGAGCAGGGCAGTGCCAGCAGGGCCTGGCCCAGAAGCACGGAGATGGCCAGGCACGGTGTGGGGGGAGCTATGGAATCCAGACTCTTAGCCCAACCCCGCTCCCCTGCGGATCTATAAAAGCCTGGAGTAGCTGTTTCTTCCACCCTGGCCAAGGGGAGCTTTTTCTGTTACCCAAGGTAAGGGAAATGTTTAAACTTTCTGGACTAGTGTTTTAGTAAAAGGAAATACTGAATATAAGTGTTTGTAAGAAAATCTATTAGCAAGCGAGAGAGATAATCAATAGCTGCCATCGAGTCACCCCCAGTGTGTGGTGACCTTAGGTACAACAGAGCGAAGTGTCTTCCAGTCCTGTGTCACCCTCACAATCGCCAGCATGTTGAAGCCCATCACTGCTGCTATTGTGCCAGTCCACCTCACCAAGGGTCCCTCACCCTCCTGGCCCTCTACTTCACCGAACATGATGTCCTCCTCCATCGACGGACCCCTCCTGATGACGTGTCCAAAGCAAGCGAGTCAGACAGTGTCCTGTTGTGATCCATAGGGTTTTCATCGGCTAATTTTCACAAGTAGGTCGCCAGGCCTTTCTTCCTAATCTGTCTTAGTCTGGAAGCTCCACTGAAACCAGCTCACCATGGGTGACCCTGCTGGTATTTGAGATACCAGTGGCATAGCCTCCAGCATCACAGCAACACCAAGCCACTGCAGTACCCCACACTGACTGACAGGTCGTGAGTATATCAAATGAGGTGTCTGTAAGTAGAAATACGTGTAAAACAAGGTTCTGTACTGATCAGTTGACAAGAGTGTTGTGACCAGAGGCTCCCAGGAACCTAACCCTGCATTTCCCCAGGAGCCATGGGTCCGTGTTGGCTAACAGTGTTCACGGCCACTGTGTAGGATGCAGCTACCATGCATAACGAGAATCATCTGTGGAGGGGTGTGTGTGTGTGTATACATATTATGTGCATATGTGCATGCGCACATCTGTGTGTATACTGTGTATATGTATCTGACTGCAGCTTGTGGGGCTGAGCACCCCATCTCCCTCTATAGCTCCTCCCTCCTAAAATCATGGATAGGTTCCCCCAGCCTCTTGCCTCTTCTTTCCTCCACGGCCCCAGCCCCCTGAGCACCGGTGAGCAGTGATCACCTCTCGGCCCCTAAGGTGGGTGAAGTCCAGGTAGCCCAGGCCACCGTGGCTGGTGGATGCCATGGCTGGCCTCAGGCCTGGGGGAGGCAAATCTGGCATGGCGGGGGCTGCTCTGAACCCTGGCAGAGGGGGGCACTGGTCAGTCTTAGCCTGGCCGCTGGTCCCGGCAGAAATCCTACCACCCCCGCAGCTTCACCAGAAGGTTCCTGCATCCCCATAATGGATACCTGTCTACCTCCACCTTCTCTCCCCCTCCGCCCCCTGCCCCTCTCCACTCCCTACCCTGCCTCTGCCCTGCCCCCTCCACCCCGTCCCCCTCCTGATTGCCCTGACCCTCTGCCGCCTCTCGGGCCCGGACCTGCCCACATGTTATCACAAACACTGACCAGCGAGCTCAGGTGTCACCCTCCGCAGACGTGGGGAGAAGAGCTACATGGAGACCTGGTGGCCCCAGGGCGTGTCGTAGGGGAATCGGGACTGCTCCACTCAGGGAAGGCCATTCAGCCCGCATGTAATCCTCAGATATCATGGGGGTGAGGTCAGGCCCGCTCCCGTCCCTCCCCAGGGTCAGAACTGGGCACAGTGAGTCATTGGGTAGGAGGGAGGGGACAGGTGTTTACTGGGCATCTATTCCATGCCGCACACCTGCTCCAATCCTCAACCCACGGTATCCTGTCGTTCTGTTCAAACAACTGCCTCTTGATCTATGTACAGGTTCCTCACGAGCACAATTAAGTGTTCTGGAACTCCCATTCTTTGCAATGTTATCCATAATTTATTATGATCCACACAGTCGAATACCTTTGTGTAGTCTGTAAACGCAGGTGAGTATCTTTCTGGTATTCTCCGCCAATGGCAGGTAACAACAACTCCAGGTCAGGCCCTTCATGTCTGGTGCCGTCCCGTCGGTTCCGACTCATAGCGACCGTGTGTACGACAGAACGAAACGCTGCCAGGTCCCGCGCCATCCTCACAATCATTATGCTTGAGCCCATTGTTGCAGCCACTGTGTCAATCCATGTCGTTGAAGGTCTTCCTCTTTTTCACTGACCCTCTACTTTACCAAGCATGCTGTCCTTCTCCAGGGACTGATCCCTCCTGATAACATGTCCAAAGTATGTGAGACAAAGTCTCACCATTCTTGCTTCTAAGCACTTTAAATACTCGGAACAGTGTGGTCAGGGAGATGGTGATGGAGGAGGAAGCCTGGGCTCGGAGAGGGCAGCAGCTGGTGCTGCCCCAAAGCCCACCCTCACAGCACAGTGGGCCCCAATGGAAAGGCCATTTCCGGAAGTAGCGAGCTCACTGCTGCCAGTCCCAGGGGGTGGAAACAGCTGGTGTGACCACTTGGAAGGGATATCATGCAGGAGACTTGTGCACCTGGCTCTGGGTGGGACTCGGTGAGGTCTAAGGCCCCGAAGGCCTAGCCCTGAAATTCCTCAAGCAAGCTCGTTACCCAGATCTCACCATTGCTACGGTCCCTCTAACTGCCAGGCCCCCTCTGCTCTCTCCCCCAGGTGTCGTGCGCCAGGTGCGGCCCATCGTGGGCCCGTTTCACGCCGTCCTGAAGCTGGAGATGAACTACGTGGTCGGAGGTGTGGTGTCCCACCGAAATATCGTCAACGTCCACATCTTCGTCTCTGAGTACTGGTTCTGAGGGCCGGTCCGCATCACAGCCAAAGCTGTGCCTCCAGGCCAAGTCATTGCTGCAGACGATGCCCTGTGCCTCTTTACACCACCCAGACATTTCTTCACTTTATGTATTTGTAGTGTTAGGACAGCATGTATTAAGCTGGGCCAGATGAGTAAGTCCATCTGATGTACTTTGGTGTTTAAATCACGAGTCTAATTATTCAACTATTTGATTAAAACCCTGCTTAATGCGAAGGTTAGATATTGCTCCCTTTCTCTGCCTGTGGGCTTGGGCATTGCTAAGGACCAAAGGCATTTTTTTCGGGAGGCAGCAGGTCCAAATGCCATGAAAAGACCAGTCCTGGCCCTGATTGTATGAAATTTGACATTTGGGTACTTTTATGCCAATCAGACGTGGCACGCCCAATTCTAAGGGCACAGCTGCTGTAAATAGCAGGTACGATAAATTGCCCCCAAAAGCAAAATGCCTCGGGAGCATTTCTGTGTTCTGTGTTTAACAAAACAAAACAAAACAAACCCTTGGTAAGGACACAGTCCTGTGGGCTCTAGGTTTGTGTGTGGCCCAGGTACGTTCACGAATGGGATGATGGGTTTTCTCTGCACCGTGTGGTTCTCCTCTTCTTACTACAGACGGGAAAATAAACAACTCTGTGATCCTCCCAATGGCCTGTGCACGTGACTCTTTCCAGAAGGGTGCTCCCCTCTTGCTCAGGGGTCTCCACCAGCAAAGGGTCTGGGGCTTTCCCCCCCTAAGCTTCCCAGAGTCCCTCCTGCCCCTAGTTCTGGGGCAAAGTCCCAGCATGAGTGTTTGGAAAATCTTCCCGCATCCCATCTGATCCCATGCCCCCCCGTACCCCACCCAGCCCTGCAAGGCACATCTAGAGGCTCCCGCGTCTGTGTGACCTGCTTCCGATACTGTCCCACATGGGCGTCCGATCACCTCCCAAGTCCCTGGGGAAAGGAGAGGACCGATGTGCGCTGAGTCCCGCTCCATGCCGTGCCGGGGTCTTGGCACCGGGGTCTCATTTGCTCCTGGGGCAGTCCAGCAAGGTCCGCATGGCCACGCCCACTTTGTTGTTAGGTGCCATCGAGTCGGTCCCAACTCATAGCGACCCCGTGTACAACAGAATGAAACACTGCCCTGTCCTGCGCCATCCTCACAATGCTTGCTATGTTTGAGCCTGTTGTTGCAGCCACTGTGTCAGTCCGTCTCGCTGAGCGTCTTCCTCTTTTTCACTACCCCTCTACCTTACCAAGCATGATGTCCTTCTCCAGGACTGGTCCCTCCTGGTAACATGTCCAAAGCATGTGAGACGTACTCTCTCCATCCTCACCTCTAAGGAGCATTCTGGCTGTACTTTTTCCAAGACGTTTGTTCATTTTTCTGGCAGTCCATATGCCCACTTTAGAGATGAGCAAAGTGGGCTCAGGGAGAGAAATTCAATTGCCCAAAGTCCACTGCTTTTTAGAGACAAAGAAGGGATTCAGATTCAGTTTACCTGCTTCCAAACCCCATTCCTCTAAACCTTTGCGTCAGAGCAGATGTGGACAGACTGGATTGATTGGATGCTCTATGCCACCCTGTGAATCAGTGGTGAGGCCAGGAGCATCCAGAAGCCCAAGGCTCACTTGGATCTGCAGAGATTCTGCCTCCAGGCCCCCTGGTTTCCACCAGGGCTCCTAATCAGTTTGTTCCAGTTTGAACTCCTGCTGAGAATTTGCATCTCCACCCCCAGATATACTGAATCAGAACCTACATTTTAACAAGATCCCCAAGTGATTCGTATGTATAATAAATTCTGAAAACCACTGCTCTTCTCAGTACTGGTCCCTAACGAGCAGCATTAGCATCGTCTGGGAACTTGTTAGAAATGCACATTCTCAGCAGGGGTTTGAACTGGAAGGAATTGGTTCCAAGACCTGGTTTCCACGCACTTCTCCTCTGACCCTTCTGTGGACTCTGTGTTTATCCATCTTCTCAGACATGGTCCACTGGCAACTAAGAGCTTCTCTCTGCCCACTGTGCCCCAACAGCATTGGCCAGGAGCTCATCTCCCCACCAGGGACTTCCCTGTTACTGGGATTTCAGTGTGGCTGGTATTTTGGTAGGAGTCTCTGGATGGTACAAATGGTTAAGCACTCTGCTGCTAATTAAAAGGTTGGTGGTTTGAATCCACCCAGAGGTGCCTCACAAGAAAGACCTGGTGATCTACTTCTGAAAAATCAGCCATTGAAAACTCTAAGGAGCGCAGTTCTGACACACAGGGGTTCTCCATGAGTCGGAACTGACTCTACGGCAACTAGCTTGGTTTGGTTTGGTGTTCCGGTAATTCAAGCCAGCACTGCTGGAACTCTGCTGAGTATGGTCTCCAGCCACCTTTGGGAACTCACCAGCATTTCCATCCTTGCTGGTTTGGGGCACTGGTCTGCAAAGCCAGGACTGGGCCAGTTAGGGGCCTCAGCAACTGGAGGTGGGGGAAGGGGAGGAACTGGTGTGGGACAGACAGTCCAGGGATGCGGGGAGCGCAGGGAGGTGCCTGGGCACTGGGGTCCTGGCTGGGAAGCAAGCGTAGGCTGGAGTCCCAGGAGTGGGAGTCCCACCTAGTGCCCAGGGGGCAAATCCGCAGGAGCCAGGCAGCTCTCCACCTGGGCCCTTGGAGGAGGGAGGGTTCTGGGAGCCTCCTCCTTCCTGGGGCTTGGGTGGGATGCAGGGGTCAGGGGGAGATAGAAGCTCCAAGTGCTTCTGGGAAAGGCTCTGTCCCCTGCTTTGAATATGAGTTAGAGTTGGAGCTACCCTCGGTTGGTAGAACCAAGTCTGCTGCCGTTGATTGGCACTTGAAAGAGCATGTGACCCAAGGTGGGCCAATCAGAGCCCTTCCTGAGGGAGTGCAGTCTCCAGGGCAGGAGCCAACAACAGGGAGGTGATGGATGGATGGATGTGTGGATGTGTGGATGGATGGATGGATAGTTGGATGGATGGATGGATGGACGAATGGAGTTGCCAGGCTGGAGAAGCAGACGAGGGTGAAGGAGCAGGGTGCTGACCCTACCTGATTCAAAGAGTTGGAGAGGCCAATTCAAGCCTCGCCTTCGCAGGTGCTAGCAGGGTGAGTCACTGCCATCTTCCGAGCTCACTTTCTGCCTCTGCAAAATGGAAACAGTGTATCTGCCCAGTTGCTCTGCCCCTGGATAGCGGTGAGGAGTGTGGGAGAGGATGCATGAGAAAGAGCTCTACAAACTGTAATTGAGATGTTTCAACAAACAGATGCAGTGCTAGAAGTGCTCACTCATCTATGCCAAGAAATTGGGAAGACAGCTACCTGGCCAACCGACTGGAAGACATCCATATTTGTGCCCATTCCCAAGAAAGGTGATCCAACCGAATGTGGAAATTATTGAACAATATCGTTAATATCACACACAACTAAAATTTTGCTGAACATCATTCAAAAGCAGCTGCTGCAGTATATCGACAGAGAACTGCCAGAAATTCAAGCCAGATTCAGAAAAGGATGTGGAACCAGGGATATCATTGCTGATGTCAGATGGATCCTGGCTGAAAGCAGAGAATACCAGAAAGATGTTTACCTGTGTTTTTATCGACTATGCAAATGCATTTTGACTGTGTGGATCATAACAAATTATGGATAACATTGCAAAGAGTGGAAATTCCAGAACACTTAGTTATGCTCATGAGGAACCTGTATGTAGATCAAGAGGCAGTCGTTTGAACAGAACAAGGGTATACCGCGTGGCTTAAAATCAGGAAAGATGGGCATCAGGGTTGTATCCTTTCACTATACTTATTCAGTCTGTGTGCTGAGCAAATAATCCGAGAAGCTGGACTATATGAAGAAGAACTCGCATTATGATTTGAGGAAGACTCATTAACAACTTGTGATATGCAGATGATACAACCTTGCTTCCTGAAAGTGAAGAGGACTTGAAGCACTTACTGATGAAGATCAAAGACCACAGCCTTCAGTATGGATTTCACCTCTACATAAAGAAAACAAAATCCTCACAACTGGACCAATAAGCAACATCATGATAAATGGAGAAAAGACTGAAGTTGTCAAGGATTTCATTTTACTTGGATCCACAATCAACACCCATGGAAGCAGCAGTCAAGAAATCAAAAGATGCATTGCACTGGGCAAATCTGCTGCAAAAGACCTCTTTAAAGTGTTAAAAAGCAAAGATGTCACCTTGAAGACTAAGGTGCACCTGACCCAAGCCATGGTGTTTTCAGTCGCCTCATATGCGTGTGAAAGCTGGACAATGAATAAGGAAGACCGAAGAATTGATGCCTTTGAATTATGGTGTTGGTGAAGAATATTGAATATACCATGGACTTCCAGAAGAATGAACAGATTTGTCTTGGAAGATGTACAGCCAGAATGCTTATTAGAAGCAAGGATGGAGAGACTGCGTCTCATATATTTTGGACTTGGTAACAGGAGGGACCAGTCCCTGGAGAAGGACATCATGCTTGGTAAAGTAGAGGGTCAGTGAAAAAGAGGAAGACCCTCAACAAGATGGACTGACACAGTGGCTACAACAATGGGCTCAAGCATAACAACGATTGTGAGGGTGGTGTAGGACCGGGCAGTGTTTCGTTCTGTTGTACATAGTGTTGCTATGAGTCGGAACCAACTGGACGGAGCATAACAACAGCAGCCTGAAAGTAACAATGGTGATAATCGTTGCCACTGTTCATGGAGCCACATGAATCACTCTGGAGACATCATTTCAATCCTGTATTTCCTTTTCTTGATTGTCCAGGAAGACTTGTAGACGGTGTGGGAATTACACATGAGCCCAACTTTTCATATTTCATGTGGCGCTGTGGGCTGGGCACCTGAGGGACAGATAAGTATCCCATTATTCTTACAAAGTAATTACTGTTGGGACCAAGCCTGGGCCACACTGGAGGACTAGCTAATGGGAGCTGGCAGTGCCTCTGGCAACCACGGTGGCTTCTTAATTGTGGCCTGAGACAAACTAATTGGGGGCATACACCATAAAGAAAGCAGTTTATAAGCAGCATGAGAAGGCAAACACACACAGGTCAGATCGTTTATGCTGATCTGGTAGCAGAAGAAACTTGGAGGGAGGAAGATTCCAGAATGGCGGGTCTTGTGCTGTAATAGTTGACTAGAAAGCTGTGTCTGCTTTGAGTGAATTAAAAGAAAAAAACAACCAATGCCATTGAGTTGATTCTG